AGCTGGGAGGCTGAAACTTTGGATATATGTTCCTACCCGTGTGTCATCCTCCCGTTTTAAGATCTTGCCTCATACGCGCCTAAACCCCGCGTACGGGACCTTCAAAGAAATTTTTTAGCGGGGAACGATTTCGCGAACCAAGCAACGTAGAAAGCTGAAACTTTGCAGGGGTATTCTCTATGCACACACGAGATAAAAGTTTTAAACTCAGCTCTCTAGCTCTCCAACCACAGCCTCAAGCAGCTTCTCAACCCAAAAATCGTTAACAACTCGGGCCTGAACCGCAATTGCATATGCAAATGAACATGAATTTGAAAAACGACCGTTCGAGCAATACTTTCAATTTTTCAATGAACTGAAAATTAGCATATTTCAAAAAATTCATTCGCAGCTCGGACCTTAACCGCAATCGTATATGTAAATGAACACGCATTTTTTGGCAAACGACCGCTCGAGCAATACTTCCACTTTTTAGTGAACTGAAAATTTGCATTTTTTCAAAAAATTTATTATCATTTTTTCACAAAGCGAGCATTTACCGAAAAAACGACCGGACTTCATGTAAAAAACCGGTAATCATACACCTGGATGGCCGCGCGGCTCTATAATGCACCACCTTCATCCCAACTGATGCCCTTCCTTCTGCATGTCAGGAAGGATCAAAGCACGGCCAGTATTAGCCCAAGTGTTAGGCTACAGTGTAGGGGTCATTCCTGCTAATAGCGATCGGCGAATTTAGTGCAAAAACGCATGATCGCACCGGGCTCCCCGGTGCGTTCCAGCCAGAGTTTTGCACAGTTCCTTGCAGTTTTTTGTAACTAACGGCACTGTTTTTCTTCGGAAAATGCTTCTAGCTGAAAAAATTGAGACTGGCCATCACGACTGTCAGGAAACATCTCTTTAAAATTTAAGCCTTCTGACTTTTCTGGCTCCCAGGTTAGCAAATTACTCGCCAAAAATTTTACGTAAGAACACACACACACCTGGGGACTGAATTCTAAGTACGCAGTGAGGGACCCGCCAAAAACTTTCATGGATCCGCACGTGAGAACTGCTTAGGCAAGAGCCATCATCTTAGAAGTAGGGACCTACACATACATACAGATTAATTTCCCAAACTTTCAACCTTGTAGTCTCTGTAGGTCTCGAGATGAAATTCGGCACAGACGCACACACAGACAACCTCTCAACAGTATGCTTTTTTGCACTGCATAGATACAAAAAAAAAAAATAAATGGCAACGTGCACCAGACTAGCCGGTGCGATCATGCGTTTTGTGCAATTCAGCCCA